CGACCCATATGAAAATACTATTGACTATGACAACAATGGGAACTCGACAGGTACTCACATTCGTGTTCGTAAAAATAGAAGAAAGTATACAAGAGAATATTATGAAGTTTTAGGCAAACATGGCAAAATGTACACACTGCAAGCAGAAGATAAAACGACTATTGTCAGACCTCGTTTCAAACTTGTCAAAGTTCAAGGTGGTATACTTTCAAAGACAGTTCCTAACAAATATAAGACAACTCCTGACGAATATGCTAAAGAAGTTGAAAATGACGACTAAGCAATTCTATACCATGCGTAAACTGTCATGTAAGGTGGCATGTAGTCTTTACTTTGTCCTGTTGTTTGCGTATATCCTGAAACGAAATGTGTATGGTTTCCTTCTCCCTGCGTGTCATCCCAGTAACAATTTATAGCAAACTTAACGTCGTCTTTAACATCATATCCTTTACCTTTTGTCATTCCTGACCAATCCCAATATCTATGCCTATGCCAACCTGCTTGAGATGTACTTAAATCTATGTAGTGACTGTGTGCAGGTAAATTTTCACCTGAAATCGTTTTACTTCCACCTGTTTCCTTTGAAGAGTTTGCACAATACAAAAACCTGTCGACTATTTGTTCCCATGCACCAACACCAAACATTACTTGAGGACCTCTTGCTTCCATAGATGTATAAATAGACCTACTGGGTTCATTAAATCAAACATATGAGACATTATAGGATTGTCTCTTTTGAACTTAAAATATAGTGCAACTATTTCAGGTTTCTTCTGGTTTGTGTCAGAATATTTTTTATAATATAATCTTATGTTTTCAGGGTAGGTAAAGTCTTGACTATAATATTTATTTCTGTCATCTTCATAATAGTATACTATTCTCGTTTTTTCTATTGCATTATATCTTTTATATCTATAAAAATCTAAATATAATGTTAGCTTTTGTTCATCTACATGTGGTGTTCTGACGTCATCTCCATAGTCATAATAATATGGTGCTGGAGCTGGGTCAGGCAATGTCATATCTGTCATTTCATAAACTCTTAAATATTTCTTTTGTTCGTCTCCATATAAGTTTAAGTAGCAGTTGTTGTCTAATGGAACTTTAACTTGTGTACCATCATTCTTTTTATAGCTTACATACATTTCATTGTTATTTTTCGGAATGAGTTTATACCGTGTACCATTTTCTAAGGAATGTACAAACTCCCATCTAAAATATTTGTTTTCTTCATTGACAGAAAAGTCACCAACCATAGTTTCAATATTTTTTGTTCCAACTAAACTTTGGTATATTTCATTGACATATGTTTTATCTGCTTTCTTTTCAAGGCTAACGTTTAAGTCTGTTATTTCAGAAGATGTATGTGTATGTCCAACGGCACTTTTCCTGTTTAAGGTTTCTTGTAAGTTTGTAATATTTGCAATGGTATGTGTATGTCCAACGTCACTTTTCCTGTTTAAGGTTTCTTGTAAGTTTGTAATATTTGCAATGGTATGTGTATGTCCAACGTCACTTTTCCTGTTTAAGGTTTCTTGTAAGTTTGTAATATTTGCAATGGTATGTGTATGTCCAACGTCACTTTTCCTGTTTAAGGTTTCTTGTAAGTTTGTAATATTTGCAATGGTATGTGTATGAGTCTTATTTGCTTTTGTCTCTAAGGTTTCTTGTAAGTTTGTAATATTTGCAATGGTATGTGTATGAGTCTTATTTGCTTTTGTCTCTAAGGTTTCTTGTAAGTCTGTTATTTCAGATATAGAATGTGTATGAGTCTTTTTAGAATATTCGTTTTCAGCTCTTGTCACTTCACTTGACATTTTATTGTCAACATATTTTTTGTCTGCTAGTTCAGGATGAGTATGTTCTTTTGTTGCATAAGCTTTGTTAGCTCTTTCTTCTTCTTTTGCTATTGCATCGTCTACATATGTTTTGTCAGCTTTGTTGTCAACATCTGCTTTCAAAAGAAGTTCTTTTATAGGTTTCTCGTTTAAAGTTCCTTTTGTTGGATTTACACAGACAGTATGGTTCTTATTGTCTTGAAACAGAAACTCATCTGTCATTGGGTTTAATGTCAGTTTTAAGTTTCCTTCTTTCAATGACTCAGATATCTTAGAATAGTTTGAAAAGTTTGTTGTGTTCTTATTTAGAGCTTGCAAAATGAGTTGTCGGTTGTGTTTTATTTCTCTCATAGACGCTGTTTCATTTGACATTTTTATTCTAGATAAAATATGCTTCCAATAGAAAAGGAAACTTCTAGAGTTGCTACAACTAAACCATTAGATGAACTTTTTACGAATGTCGGTCAAAAGTTTGAGACAGAGACCGTAAAGCATGAAGGCTATCGTTTTGACTACCCGTTAAGATGGCTAAGAGACCCATCCGTCACAAAAGCTATTGGCTTTCGTAGAATGAAGTTCATTTCAGAAGCCATACATGGTTTCCCATTTACGGTCGGTTTTGAAGTTCGATACTATAACAAAGAAAAACGTACGTATGAGAAATTTGAACAGGGAAAACTTTTACAAGTGAATTTGCTTGTAAACTTAGAAACAACTCTTCAAGCTTTTCAAGAAAAAATAAACGATATCTATCTCGAATATGCAAACCAGTTTAACATTGACGAAGGAGAGTACCATCTCGATATTATATATGACAGGAAAAATGCAACTGTTAAAATCAATAGAATAGAAGACCTTGGAGAAAACGTTTATATTTCTACAAAATATAACAACTTGGCATGGTATAGATTTATGAGGATGTTAAATCAGCCTGCAGAATATCCAGTACACCCGGACTTTTATGAAGTCGAAAACCCTAATGGAACATATGAAAATGTTTTCGACTCAGATGCTATTATAGTTCATGCTTCATTTTCTGGTGCACAAAACTCTTTTTTATGCTTGGCAAATGACTTTTACGAAAAACCTACAAAGCTATATGAACCACCGAGTGGAAGTATTTCGGATTTTCAAGTATGGTTTACTACAGATGGAAGAAAGAGAATAGTTCCATTATACCATGCGTTTTACTTAGAACTTAGTTTCATATACAACTACTATCGAACGGTAAAAATATAATTTTTTAATACGGTTGAGGTGTTGGATTTGGTTGCCAACTAGACTGTGGTGCAGGTTCAGGCTGTTGTATAACAGGAGCTTGTTCTTCTGGTTCAGGGTCTTTAGGTATAATACCAACAAACTGACCTACCCTTTTACCAATATTTTTGACTCCGTTCCATACTCCTCTTCCGACAGATTTTATTCCATTCCATATACCTCTTCCAACATTTCGAAAGAAGTTTCCTATTCTTCCAAAGAAACCCATTTTACTATATGTAAAAATCTAATGTCCGCCTAGTCTCTTACGTTTCCTGTTGAGTTCCATAGCATTCTTTAACTGGAGCTCATACATTCTATTTCTCCTCTGGTAGAAAACATACTCTGGGTCAACTCCTGTGTTCGCGTCATCTGCATAGAGTTGTTTATATCCCACTTCAGGGTTTGTATAAAACTCTTTCCATCTCATATTTGCATACCATGGTGGCAAACCTAACGCAGCGTCATTTGACATGGCAGTTTGCATTTGTACATCTGTTGGCACTTGACCATAGTTTGCCATTGCAGTTTGTATTCTAACTTCATTTGGAATATTCTCTGGGTTTGGTTGTCCGGGTTGCTGTGCATTCGCTAAGTTCTGTGCGTCCATTTAATATTAGATAAAAATATCTCTTACGAGTACATATACTGAACATTTGCAGGCATCGGTTCATCTTCATATTCTCTGTACTTTTCTGCCACGTCAAAGAAATAGATGACACAATGGAAAAAACCTAAAACAAGTAGTCCTATTTCAAACCACATTTACTTACCAATAAAATTTCTTTGTTATGACACTTTCTCCGGTTTATAGGACCTCTCTCATATTCTATCTTGTCATATCTAAACTCATAGTCATGTATGTCCTCTAACCATCTCATAACGGTTTCCAAACCACTTTTATCGGATGTAAAGTAAAGCATGGATGGTTATGTAAAACGTCTAAAGTTTCTAAAGAGTCTCTCAAAGTCCAGTCTACTTGGTATTGAAAATCCCATGTGTTATAGAACGGCGGGTCCACTATAAAGAAAACATTTTCCTTGTCTTTATATTTTTCATACAACTCTGTCCAATGACATCTCACAAACTCTATACCCTCAGTATATTTTCTATGTTCTTTTTGAAAACCTTTGTATAGTTAAGATATAAAACTTTTGACATAAGTGTTTCAATGTCATGAACTCTTATAGCACCACTATATAATAGTCTAGCAGATATACTATCCCAGTCTATATATTCTGCTTTTTTCAAAACCTCTCTCACAATATCTTTCTTATCTAATGGTATACTTTCCATCTTACCTATAGGTATCTTTTCTTTCAACTCACTCAATATTTTGTTTGTGTCTGGTATATGTTTGAGACGGTTCATATAGTTGTCGAAGTCATTGCATATAATCTTTGAGTCAGGAAATACAGTATGGCACAAATGGGATATATAGAAACTTCCACCGAACAAATCTACAAATGTTAGACCATTCGGTAGTTTCTTAAGTTCTCTCAATAGAATATCTTTACATCTACTCTTATTTCCAAAGAAGGGTAACGGTGGTTTTGTAAAATTCATTTTATATATATAATAAAAATGTTTTTTCCTGAAAAGTGACAGAAAAGTGACTGGGGCTAGAGGGCACGAAGTGCCTGGAAGCCCCAATCCCTTTTTTTTTTTTTTTTTTTCTTTTTTTATGAGGCATGTAGACTAGGATCTATTATCGTGTTGTTGATTTTTTATTCAGAAAAAAAACTTATTTTATATGAAATCGAAATTTTAACTCACATTATAGCTTGCCATTGCCTAGAGAGAAGGATTTACAAGTCGATTCATTTTCAAAGTTCATTGATCGGAATTTCTCAAGTATTCAATTTCAATTTTGTCACTTTTATTGTAAATTTTCAATTAAAATCTATGGCTCCTCCTCTTGTTCTCACCATCCAAAGTCACATGACGCATGGCAGAAGTGGAAATAGATCTGCTGTTTTACCGATTGAGGTGAATGGGATTGATTGCGATCCTATAAATACAGTTAATTTCTCAACCCACACTGCATATCCTCATATTCGCGGCACAAAAATGACACCACAAGAATTAGAGGACATTCTCGAAGGATTACGTATGAATAACATTCTCAAAATGTATACACATCTTCTGACCGGATACATAGGTGATCCTCATATCATCAAAGTCATTGCAAATCTCAGGAAAGAACTTGGAAATGGTGTTCATTATCTGTGCGATCCTGTTTTAGGTGATTCTGGAGAATTATACGTAGATCCAGAGTGCAAACAGCTATTCAAAGAAGTTTTAGTTCCAATTGCTGATACTATTACACCAAATCAATACGAAGCAGAGTGGTTGACTGATATGAAACTCAACACTCCTCAAGATCTTCTCGAAATCGTTAAAAAGTTGCATGAATTAGGACCAAAGAATGTTGCCATTTCAAGTATTGAATGGAAGCATCGTTTTGTATTCTTCAGTTTCGAAAATGGAAAGATTCAGCTCCCAGTTGAAACTAAAAGTTATGACAGAAGTTTTGATGGACCTGGCGATGTATTTGCAGCATTATTACTCTCAAATATGATTAAATACCCAGAGGATTACGAAAAAGTCGCTAAAAATACAGTCAATGGTACATTTTGTGTAATCAAAAACACATTTGAACTCGGATTTAGAGAACTTGCAATTCCTCAGTCCGTAGAAGAATTAATTCATCCTCCTGAGTTATTCCAGCCTATAACTATTGAACAATTCCTCAAAACTAATGTTAATGAATAAAAAAAATTTTCTGTCAATGTAAAAAAAATTAATAGTATATTTTAACAATATTGTGACAGATCATCCTCACATTAAGAAATATGAGGAGCTTAATCGTCTTCTTTATCATAATATTCCTCTTCTTCAAGAGATGAAAATGAGCCTTCTGGTCCAAGCTGGCCAGTTATCTTAACGTTGACATCTCCTTCGTTGATAAACTTTGGTTTCATAGATGGATATAAAATTATTTCAATTTGTTTAACAAGCTCACCAGGCTTGAATTTTGTTAGTAAAACTTTGTCTGTCAGTGGCTTTTCTTCAATAAAATCATTGTATTCCAAATAAATATTAAATTCTTTTTCAGATTTATTTAAAAGTACAGCATTTAAAAGAATAGCTTCTTGGTCTTCGCTTTTGAATTGAAATTCATACGTTTTATGAGGGGCGATAAAGAATTCAAGAGGGTCTGTTGGTATTTCTTCTTGTTCACTACTGCTCATAAAATCTGACATTTTTAAAAAATTTTGGTTAGTTTGAATAGTTTACAATTATGGTAAAATATCACCATTTTCAATCATTTGAAAATCCTAGCATGGAGGTAAATGAATCTATGAATGAAAATTCAAATAGATTTGAAGCATTTACATTAATTCCTCAAAATGATTTTGTTGATTTTAGTTCATCATATAGCAACTCAAGCGAAAACGATTTCCCAAATGATTTTTATGAATTTTTTGACTGCTAAGTAAATATTGAATGTTTTTTATTATGATGCAAATACAGCTATTAAATATATAAATATCAAACAAAAAAATTTTAAATACAAAAAAAAAAATTAACTAATTGATCTACTTTCGAGAACATTTTCTGATGAAAGAGATGTAGTAATCGGATTTTTGAATGCGAATTGATATGAATCGTCGCATATTGATGCATTCATTTGAGAAATTGGGAGAAGAGCATTAGGTTTAGGTGGATCAACTGGATTAATAGGCGGAGTGAATTTATCAGGTGACATTTTGAAGAAAGGATTCTCAGAAATTTCCTTCAAGGTTAACCTTTTCTTTGGATCTGGAATTAACATGCCTCTAATTAAATCGTGTAGTTGCGGAGATACTGTTTGTGGGATATCAAGCTGGTTTTGGCCGATGTTTCTGACAATCTCATACACAGTATTTCCTAAAAATGGAAGTTTTCCAAAAACAACTTGGTATAATGTAACGCCAAGACTCCATACATCTTCTTTAGCAGGATCGATGTAAGGGAAATTGCCGAACTCATCAAGACGATCATCAAAAATTTCGGGTGCTTGATAAGCTGGAGTGCCAACGACGGTATCGGCACTCTGAAAAGAATGTCCAATACCGAAATCACCGATTTTAGCAACTCCATTTGAAAAAATAAGAACATTCGAAGGTTTTATGTCTTGATGAACAAACCCTTGACCATGAAGATATGATAAGCCATGAACTATCTGTTTAAATATCGAAGAGATAGTCATCTCTGATAAGTTGATTCCAGAATTAATAATATCTTGTAAAGAGCCGCAGTTGCCCCATTCCATAATCATGTAGTACTGATTCTTCTGTGGGACATATAACACTTCGTGGAGTCTAACTATGTTTTCATGCTTAATCTTTTTGAGAATTTTAACTTCCCTTTCAAGTGGAAGTTGGTTCTGGTTATGTCTATTGGCTTTAAAGATTTTAGCAGCAAAATACTTTCGAGTTATAGAGTCTTGAATCAAAAGAACTTTGCAATTAAAACCCTTACCAATCGTTTTTAACAAATTGTATTGATTCACTTTCCTTTGAAGATGGGTAAGATCTCCAGCACTATGCACTTTGATCATTGGAGTTATAAAATTAGAATGCAGTCTTCTAACTTGCATAGCAAAGGGAGAGCGAAAGGATTCAAATTCTGATTATCATATCACAAGTCTTAAATCTTTTGAGAAGGTATTCAATTTTAGAAGTGTAAGAGATTGATAGTTGATGTAATATATGTAGATGGATAAATATAATCGAATTGAAATAATTTTATTATTCTTTCAATTTTTTGAATATCGGCATACCATGTAGACTAGAAATCAAACTAGACATTGAGATTAACATATTCTTCCGAAAAACAGAATTTTATCGTTTTATCACTTTAATCGTATTCATTCATAAAAATAATTAATTAATATTGAGTCTATAAATATGAAGTTTTACCAATGTTTAGACATTGAATGAATTGAATTACTTGATGAAAAATCAGATAAATGTATTTTAATACATTGAGTTAATTAATATAAATACCTAATGAATGAAAAATAATTGTGGCTTTTCAATGCAATTTTTGGCTATCAACGTGCATATTCATAATTTAGAATATCTATGTATAATTATGAAAAATGATTCGTTTGTGCTTTTTAATTCAAATAAATAATCTTTCAATTTCCTTTTGAATCAAAAAGGATCGTTTAACTAATTTTCACTTCATCTGTCAATGAAATATTAGTATATATATGATATAGATAATATACGATTTTTGATAAGAAATTACGTTACACAAACATGGTCGCTCTTTCTGTCAATGTAAATAAAATTCTATGAAATTTTTCTCTGTTATTATTAATTACGGCATCGTATAATTTGTGTTTATTATTTCCAAACATTGAAAATCTTGATTTTTCTGGAAATTTCGCAAACATTTTGAAAATTAAGGCATTTATTTCTTTTCAAACTAAAGAACTTATTATATCTAATATATTAAACGGGTTGAATTTGATATATATGAAAGGTTTGATGTTTCTAATCATTCGTATTCCTTTTATGAGCAAATCTGTACGCTATTTTGTATTGAGAATGACGTTAAATGTATATGAATGAACGAATCTTTTTGATTTTGAATTTATTTAAAAATCGATTAATATTTATTTCAAATATTATATATTTATCTTACATGCAGTGAAATAAGTGCACAAATATTAACAAATAACTTATGTCTGTGTATAACACATATATCAAGTGCCGTTATACAAACAAAATATTATACCCAGATTTTCCTTACTTTTACCACCCCTCTAAAGCTGGGGACACCGCCTATCGTTGGGAGTAGCTATTAAATAGAACCACCAAGGGTATTTTTCGAACTGCCGGTGTAGTGGAAACATCCGACATAATGATTCATTATGCCAAGGCTTTATTCCCATTTAGCTAATTTTTTTCTTTTTTGGATCATGAATTTTTTTTTGGGTCACTATAAGATTTGTTTCATGTTCTAAATCTGCTGCATATGTAATCTATTTTTATTTACCTATTTTTTAAAAATCTATTGGATTGCCAAATTTGAATATATTTAAAATCATAAAAATCCAAAAAAACTATAAATATATGTTTTATGCATAGTGCCGATACTCAAATATCAGATTACTTAGATCCATAAATAATATCCGAATTTTTTTTCTTAAAATTAAACTTCAAAACTTCTTGCAATCTTATTCTTCATCAATTGTAAATTTTTAAAACCATTTTTTAAAATAATTTTGCGTAAATTTTATTCCCATGTTGTTTTAATCGAAAATTGATACATTTTCAAAAAAATAATATTGACTTATGAAATTCATTTTTAAGGTGAAATAGTATTGTTTTTATTAAAGTATATGAATAATATATAAAAAATTAATGAATAATATAAGCAGATTTTTAGTTTACAAAACAAATATGAGCAATGCAATTTCAAACTTTTGCTGGCAATTTCGATATTGCTCAAGTTTGTAGTATTTGTGATACCTATAACATCGGCTTAATCAAAATTCGATTTTTCTTATGAGTTATTGAGAAAATTTGATTGCAATGAGAAGGATTTCGACGTTTTTGATAAACTAAGAGCTGAGCTTTAGGGGTTCAGTTCATTTATGGCTGTAGTTTGATGCGTAGATCTCTTTTTTATTGTAAATTCTTTCAGCATGGAGATCGAGAATGAATCTTTTGAGAACTTTATGAGTTTTTACACCCGTAAAGAGGTCCTTCGAGGAAAGATAGTCCAGACTACATGAAGATGTGGGTTAACCAAAAAAATCCGATGGTTTCCCCATATTCATGTAGATCTTCGAAAAAATGAGCACCAAAAAAAGCCAAAAAAATAGGCTTTTTATTGGATTTGTACACTAGATCAATAACCTATTTAGGATCTGACACTCTTTTTAGCCAGAGATATGAGGTCCTTTCTAGGAAAACGATCTATTCATCCATAAAAAAAATGAATTATCGTTTTCCCCAGAAATTACATGGGGAGTGGTAAAAGTAAGGAAAATCTGGGTAATTTAAAGTTGAGTATAAAAGAAGATTTAGTGAGTTCGAGATTTCAACGTATAAAGAATGATGCAAGCAATAATTGCAGCAACTGCTAAGCCAGCAAGAACGCTGGCAGAAATGATCAGACTCTTTTCCAACGATGTCCTTCCAATGACGTGTCTCCAGTTATCTGGTAATTTCTGGGAGCAATCATAATTCACGTTTTCTCCAAACATCGAAGGATTCAAATATTTCTTCTTGTCAGCGTATTTATTTGGAATGTTTGTGATCTTTGTGGACTGGAAGTATTCACCTTCATAGCATACTGTAATTGTTGTCCACAAGTTAGTTGGATTCTTGAATTCTTTGATTGTTTCTGGCAAAATTACAATCATTGCAGGTCTTTCGTTTGAGAATTTCCTGAATTCCTTTGTCTTGAAGTAATCATTTATGTATTTGATTGCATCTTCCGCAACAATTTCGACTGAAGAAGGAACTCTGTATATCTCTGGCAACTTTCCAAATGTTGTAATCAATGTCTTTGATGATCTTTCGATGACAGCATTTCTTTCAATGAAATAATATGGATTTTCGCTGTCAATGACAACATTGACGTTGTTTGCGAAAATGAAAGCTTCTGGATCGATGTATCTCACGTTCTTACTTAATTCAAGTGTTAAGTTATCATCAACGAAGAATGTGAGATCTTTTCCCAACGAAATGATTCCCTTTCCGAGCACTAACTTCTTCAGTTTCTTGCAAGCTTCGAAGCAATATTTGCCAATTGATGTTACTTGGTCTGGAACAACGAATTCTTCCAAACCTGTGTTGTGGAACATCAATTCGTAAAGAGTTGTCATGTGCGATGGGATTTCAACAGATTTAAGTGATGTGCAGTGCATAAACAATGCTTTGCCCTCAACAAAATCTTGTAATGTGAGTCTGGAATCAGGTAATTTGATTTTTTCGAGTTTTGTGCATTCAACGAAAACACCTTCCTTCAACAAAACGCCATCATTAAGTGTGACGTCTGTTAAATTATAGCATTGATAGAAACTATAGAAATCAATTAATTTGACGCCGTTGACAAGTGTCACTTTTGTAAACCACTCAAATGGAATGATTCCAAAACAATTTTATTTTCTTTGTCTTGGTTATTGATGACGAGTTCCTTCAAGTAGTATGAAAAGTTTTGCTGATCCATTGTCAAGAAATGATTGATTTCGAGCTTTTCAACGCTTTTAGCAAGAGTAAATGCGTGTTTTGTGATAAAAGTAATTTCATCAGGAACAGTGTATGTCTTTGATGCATAAGATGGTAAAACTGCCAACAATGTTCCATCATTTCTTGTCAAAACACCATCTTTAAGAATAAGTTTCTTGTTTTCTGAGTCAACAACGAATTCGATGTCTTCTAAACCGTCAAATGCTGCTGCAAAGAAATGCTCGCAATACTTGCTGAGAATTACTTTCTTGAGGTTGAAACAGTTGTGGAAAACGAATCTTTGCATTTCTGTATCACCAAGGATGACTGACTTAACTTTGGAGTTCTCAAATGCATAGAACATCATTGATTGAACTGCTGTCAAATTCAAGCATTCGATTTCAGATGAATTTGAAAAGACAGAGTCTTCCATTGTTGAAATGAAACCATTGAAGTTGATTTCCTTCAAAGATGTGCAGTTACTGAATGCCTGAGTATTTACGGTATTGCAGTTACTTCCGAATGTGACTTTCTTCAAATTAATGCAGCCTTGGAATGTTCCTGCACCTAATGTGCAGTTGATAACAAGTTCCTCGATACCTTGGCAGCCTTCAAAAGCGTACTGACCGAATTCACCAGTATATTTCATGTTTGTTATGTTGATTTTATGGCAAAATCCGAAAGCATAGCCCTGGATATCTTTTGCTGCGGAGAGATCCATCTCTAATTGTTCGCAGAATTGAAATGCCTTAGGGAAGAATGTCTTTGCCTTTGGAAGATTGCATTCCTTGAGAGATCTGCAGTTGTAGAAGGCCTTCTCTTCGACTGTCTCTGCTCCGACTGATGTGTACTTCTTGAGATTGCGGCAGTTTTCACAAAATGAAGTTGGAACTTTGACATATTTTGGATCCATGTAAATTTCTTCAAGTAACTGGCATTCTGCGAACATGAATAAGCATGATGTAGCATCAATCTTCGAGAAATTGATCTTTGTAACTAATGTTCCCATGAATTGTCTGACGGATACAGAAACATCTTTGTTGTAGTCAGGATCGAAGACAACGTTGTTGATATTGGAATATCTGAATGCTGATGCAAGCATTTGTTTCGTATTCTTCATAAATCTGAACCCTGTTAATCCAGAATATTCGAAGGATTGCTCGCCGTAAACATTAATCTTAGAAAATGGAATAGTTGTTAAGTTAATGCAATATGCGAATGCTGATGTGTTGACAGAGACACCTCCATTCGTGAATTCAAGAGTTTGCAATCCAATTGCATTTTGTGCGAATGATTTTGGAATTTGTGTTGCTCCGATAGACATTGACTTTATGCGTGGAGCATATGCGAAGCATTCATCACCGAAAGTTGTGATATAATCCAATATAATTTCTTCAATTCTGGATGCATAGAAACATCTGTTGCCTAATTCCTTGATGGATGCTGAGAGTTGGACTTTCTTGATATTTGTATTACCTTCAAATACAGAATCTCCGATTTTCATGGTGCTTGCAGAAGAAAAATCAACGTTTGTCATGTATTTGAAATATGGCTTCTTTGGAATGACTTCTACTGGTGCTGAAACTACAATAGAATTAATCTGGTTCTTTTGAATATACATATTTATTAAAGCATCGTTATCAAAATCCTCAACTGTAGATATTTCGAGAACTTTTCCTTTAACATCAGGTGTATTAGCTAGAAATACTTTAGTATTGAGAAGTGACTGAATAAAAACTCGAGAATGAAGCATTTTATTAAAACTATTTACAATTAATTCAAAATAAATATTTTTTCAAAAGTGAAATACAAATAATTTTAAATTTGTAATATAATAGAAAACAATTATTTTTACAGGAAAATTGTAAATTTATATCGTTGTGATGACAACGTCTAAAAATGTCAAGATTGTGGATATAGATGCATATTTGCATGTTAAAAATGAATACTCTAGAATTGATCAGAAATCTTAAAATTTTTTAAAAATGCCAATTATCCATAATCCGAATTTGGATCTGAAATGAATTTGGCAATGTGATTTTGAATGTAATTGCCGAAAATAAAGTATTTAGTATATGCAAAAATCATTGTTCAGCATATAAGATTGGATTCTTGATTCAATACAATTATAAACTAGATTTATAGATCAATATTACATACTGTTATATGTAATATGGAATTTATATATTGTGCCTATAGGACTTTACGATTAATTCACCTATTTGAAGAAAATGTCTTGAATTTGAATTATCTACTTTCCCATTGCAGAAGAAAATAGAGAAGACATTTGATTGTGACAAAATTATGTTTATTATTCTAATTCTTGTTTGAATATTTTTAAATTTGATATTTTCCATGTTAGAACTTTAAAATTCTGTTTAATTTCCTAAAAATATAATTTGTTATCTCAAATATATTCATAATATGTTACCTATGTGATTGGTATCAATTCTTTAGTGATGTGAATTCACACTCACAGAAATGTTACTTCAACTGACAATAGGAAGCTCTATTCTTTTTGCTGAGTTTGCAAACAACACTTCTGCTGATGGACTAAGAGAAAAGCTTTCAAATAGTTCGATAACACTTGATATTTCGGATTATTCTAAATTTGAAAAAGTTGGTGAACTTGGCTTCACACTCCCTAGGAATGATGAAGATATCACAACCCAATATGGTGATTTAATCCTATATTTAGGAAAACGATTTGTTATTTATTATGATGTGAATCATTGGTCATTGACAAGATTAGGGAAAATCATGAACATAACACAAGATAAACTTAAATCAATATTAGGTGAAGGTGATGTCACAGTAACACTATGCTTAGCAGAAAATTCCTCAATCACAACAAAATGCAATGAATCACCGGTCAAACCCAATAGTAATAACCACAAAACAACAATAATTATTGTTTGCACAGTTGTTGCAGTTGTTGTTGTTGTAGCTATTGTAGTTATCAGCATCATAATATATAAGAAGAGAAAGAACTGAATGTCATTATGTCTTGTTAGATAGTATTGGAATAAACTAATTCCTTTTTAGAATAACAGCACTTTAATCAATAATCCTGAATAAAATCCAATGCTTGCCAGAATTGATTAAAGTATGTATTTAAATTCACATGTTTTGTTGGATTTTAAATGAATATGAATTGTATTAAAAAAAATATAAAAATTATTGAAAGTAGGGTATTAAAAATGCAAAAAGATTAAGATAGATAAATCATAGTGAATTTATACATCAATTAATATAAAAACAAAAATACAAAAAAATAATATATTAAATTAATTTTGAGACATCTTCAACTGCAGATTTTAGAGGTTGTTTATCATCTCTAATAGGAACAGTTAAAGAGTTCTTTTGGAGGATTGCTTTGCTATCTATTACAACCATCTGAGATTTCATCTTTTCGTCACCAATCAACTTAGAAAAGTCGAATTTCAAGGTCATAGGAGCAGACTCCTGCTTCGCCGGCTTCGATTTTGAAACAGAAGAAGGTTTCGTTGGTAAATTATTTTCATTATCTTTCTTTTCTGTTTCCTTTAGATCGAGTTTGTCTTTGATTAATGATTTCTGCTTAAATGACGGATCGTTCTTTATACTCGCGCTTTCATTTATCAGTTGTGAAATGACCGGATTGGCAAAACCGAACATTTCTGGTCCAGAAATTGAGAGGACTCTGTTTCCAGGGAGTCCGACCTCTTTCTTTCGCTCTTCGATGGACTTAAGAACGGCCAACCACACATTAGACGTTTTTGTGGATTCCCAGGACAGTCTGCCATCAGGAGTTTCGACTCTGAACAATGGCAAGTCATCTCCAGTGTCAATTACGTAGTTTCGGTACCAAATTTTCTCTCCGATGTCGAAACATGAAGCGTAGTAGCGTTCTGAGACAAATCCCGCTGGATAATAGTAACGCTCGCTCTGGAATCCTGGTCTATCTGTGATAACTTGGCCGATATTATTCAAAATCAAAGTATTAGTGATTGCGGCAGGAAGAATTGGAGTTCCGTCTTCATTGTACTGGATATCGGCAATTTCTCCTGGTAAAATCGCTGGTCTTTCGCTTGCTGTCGGTGGATGCATGATTAATTGGATTTTTCTGAAGAGTTTGGCTTCGACTAAGTCTGGTCCGAAGATATTAAGGTAAACGGAGTTGGTATCCATGTCCAAAAAGCCATTGTTTGCGAAATAATTTATCAAAGTCCAGTCTCTTCCTTTTGCAGCGTCTTCTGGAGGGGATCTAACGTATTCTCTGACTTTCTGGAAGAACTTAATGCGCTCCATTAAGCGATTTGAGTTATCATAATCGACTTCTGTTTCCAAAATTCCGGAATCAAGAACTGCATGGCGGTTTGCAGCGCGCTTCTCACAGAAATCAATCAATTTGGTGATGTATTCATCAACTTCATCAACAGATTTCGAATAAAATCCTGTTTTCTGGACAAATTCAGCTGCAGAAGGATATCCGAAGCCAAGAAGATTGAAATAGATGAATTCATGCTCTCTGGCTGTCCATGTTCCTGTCTTTGTCGTGTAAATTCCATCAATCCGAAGTTCTTGGTTTTCACTTTTTTCGTTGTCAGAATTTTGTTCCTCGGTGTCACTTTTCTCGATCGTGGGAACTTCATGGTCCAAATAATATTTGAGGATTTTTGCGCACAAAACATCGAATCTTGCAATGAGCATTGAAGTAGTGATCTCAGAATTATCATGGCTGTACTTTGTGTTCGATAATTCTGAGAATCCGCTCTGAAATACGAAATTAATGAGATAATTGTCATCATCATTGCTCCAATTCTTTGATGGCTTAGCTGATTCGATCTTGTTGAACTTGAAAACAGACAAATTCTTTTCATGGAGTGCGAGATTGATGAGTTCCAATTGAGATAATCTGTTTGCCTTTTGAATTGTGAATGTTCCGACCGCTGAGATGAACTCATCCTTGAACTTTGTCTTAATGTACTTGTCAAAGTTCGAGTATTGTGGATTTGGGCTTTTTGAGCAAATATCTTCAAGAAAAGTATCATAAATAGTAAGATACTCCTTGTAGAATGAAGCGTAAATGAACAATACTCTTTTGAGTTCATCAATTGGTAACTCAGAGTCGAATTCTTCCGAAATTTTCTTAATTTGGCTAAATCCGTACTTCAAAAGCAACTGTTGGACTCTGTTTATCCTCTGTCTGGTCCATTTGAATGTAGACCTCTTATGCTGCGGAGGACCTTCTTTCCTCTTCTTTTTCGGTGTTGGAGGAGGAATCGGAGTTTCTCCTCTGGCCAATCTAAGTCTTTCTGCGATACTTAAGTTGGCATTTGGATCATCGATATCGTCTTTGTCCTTTTCGTCCTCAGGCATGTACTTCTTCCAAAAATCTGGGTCTGTAACATCGATATCTTCTTTGTCTTCGATATCGAATACGGCCTTTGAGAATGTGGAGCCATCAGAAGTATTCGCATCGTGTTGGATCAACTTAGATTTCGAAATAATTGTATCGATATCTTCTTCGTTGATCAACAGGTCATTTGCGTCCTCATTGAAGGCATAGTAAGCTCCGATACGCAACAATTTCTCAATTTCGGCAGTATCGTGTTTCCAATCTCCCTTATTTGTCTCCAAAACAGCTGTATCCAAGCCTTTCTTAAGGGAAGCGATATCGAACATCTTTCTCTCATAAGTATTAGCGGTGATGAAGCGATAGGCCGTAACTTTCTTCTTTTGGCCGATACGATGGCATCTGGCCGTGGCCTGGATATCGTTCTGAGGATTCCAGTCTGAATCGTAGATGACAACAGTATCAGCGCTAACGAGGTTAATTCCTAAACCTCCTGCTCTTGTACATAAGAGGAATATGAAGCTGTTGCTCTTTTCATCATTGAATCTGTCGATGGCCTGTTGTCTGTCTTCTGTTTTGACGGATCCATCGATTCTTTCGTAGTTGTATCTCTTATATCTCAAATAATCTTCGAGAATATCCAACATTTTCGTCATTTGGCTGAAGATAAGTACTCTGTGGCCGTCCTTTTTGAGCTTAACTAGCAGCTTGTCCAGTAAAATCATCTTTCCAGCGGAACTTATTAAGCATTCGTTCTCAAAATTGGCCGGTTTCTTCTTTTTGTTTGGTAGAAGAGCTGCACGTTCAATGAGGATCTGGTCTTCAGCACCTTTGATCAAGTACGGGTGGTTGCAACATTTTCTGAGTTCCATGCAGATACTCATGAGGTTTGAACAGTTCTGCTTGTGGGCACCTCTCGATAAATAATCCATATTCTTCGTGTAGATGCTCTGATAGTATCCTTTTTGGTGAGGTGTCATTCCACATTCGATAATTACTTCATCCATGGGGATGATGTTCTTTTCTACATCACCTTTGAGTCTTCTGAGCATCAATGGCTTAAGGATGGCCTGAAGTTCTTTGATTTGCTCTGCATCTTGCAATTTTCCGAATTTTTCATCGAAAATATGATGATCTGCGAATCTTTCTGTATCTAAGAAGTTAAGTAATGTCCATAACTCCTTGGTATTGTTCTGTAATGGTGTTCCTGTGAGGAGAACTTTGAAATCCGCGTTATAATTGTTCATTGTATGAGTAATTTTAGAGTCAAAGTTCTTGAGACGATGTGCTTCATCGATTATGAGGCATCTCCAATGAAAATCTGCCTTGAAAGTCCTGACTTCTCTCATGATGTATTCAAATGTTGTCAAAAGTACGTCAAACTTGGGAATACGTGTTCCTTGGTATGTAATTAAGTACTTTTTAAGCATGTCTCTGCGTTCTTTGCTTCCTAAGAAGGTCAAAACTTTCAAATCTGTCCAATCATGCAATTCTCGCTCCCAATGAGGTATCGTTGATAAAGGTGCTAAGATCAAGTATGGTCCTGGTAATTTAACTTGTGTGGCAAGAACTTTGATAAAATATGATGCTTGGCAAGTCTTTCCAAGGCCCATTTCATCAGCAAGTATAGGATTTTTGTTGTTGTACCATGAATTGACTAAGAAATTGACACCTTGTAGCTGATATTCTCTGAGACTTTTTCCAGATTTTGATTTATCTGGTTTTTTGATTGTTCTGAATTCCGAAGGGTCTGGTTTTTTGAATTCTGGTGCTGGTTCTGGTGGCGTGTCAGCTTCGAATTCTTTAATAAGATCGTTTAAGTAATTCGCGTGAAGTTCATAAGTAACCTCGTCATAATCAAGTTGTGTCCATTTAACTGCATAGTAAGGAATTCCGTCAACGAGTTCTTTTCCAATTACACGCTCTGGAATTGTATATTCCTTTGGGAAAAAATCTTTTTTCGGTGGATTTCCTTGATAAAGCCTTTCAAAATTGCTTAAAACAAGCTTTCCATTTGTTTGTTTCAGTAAACGCTTTTCTGAAATCCATTCACAATCTCTATAACTACTATTTCTGTATTTTACATAGTATTCTTGGCCATTTCTACGACTCCTGCTTGACAGAATCTTTGATATCGTCATTTTGCTCCTAATTGTATCTATAAGAGCTTTTGAAGCTTCTTCTTCATGATGCTGTTTTTTTGAGTTTTGCTTTTCACTCTTCATAATATCATCAATATCAAAGGTATCTGAAGTAACATCATCAGTACTCTCCACGAAAGCAGGGTTGCTTTCCGATGATGTAGTCATATAATTGAAGGAGATTGTGTTCAGCCACTTTTTTGCCGCCATTTTGTTTCCAGGCTTTTAATGTGATAAACGCTATCGCATTTATACATATTTCATTTATGGCTGACAATTAATCTCAAATTCACATATTTATGAAAATTTTATCTCGATATCAAATGTTTTCATAACAATGCATTTGATATCCTTGCTAGTTTTGTCATGTTAGCAACAAGCGCTCTCTGAAATTATATAAAAGACAGTGATAATTAAATAAACAAAAATTTACATACAATAACAATATAACAGCTATATCAAAGCCTAGGTGGGTCATGGCTTCTTCTACGCACAGTAAAACTGAGCTTCTTCAAAACCTTTTTATCCAGTGGGCTAAATATTTTACCAACGAAAGGCGTGGAATTATTACTATTAGGTGAGTATAGTTTAGGTAACAAAGATCCCTTGCAGGTTTTCGTTGATTGTCTTGATCTACTAATAAACACTCTACTTGCTTGCCATTCCTCAATGTACTTTAATAAATCGTCTATTGAAGCTCTTTCATTAGGGTCAATCACAAGGCATCTACTAATAATATCTCCAATTATGCCAATTTGATCTACACAAATTTCAAGCTTATTTTGTGTTACCAGTTTGATGAATTGAGCATCATTTAAGATCTTATTCCATGGAAATCTCTTCTCTGTAATCAAGTTCATTGTTATGCCAAATGCCCATACGTCAACTTTCTTCCCGTCATAGATTTTATTTTTAACAATCTCAGGGGCCATATAAAATGAGGTTCCACAATACGTGCTCAATGCTTCTGATTGTTCTTTGGAAACTCCGAAATCAATAATTTTTGGATGAAAATCATCGTCAAATAAAATATTGCTTGGCTTGATATCACGATGACATACACCTCTGTCATGAAGATATTTAATAGCCTGTAGCAACTCAAGGCCAATGCGAAATTGTTCTTGGATTGTAAAATTAATATTTTGTTCGAGGAGAGTTTGTAGGTCACCATTGGAAAGATATTCCATTACAATCATTATGGTATCTGGTTCGTAAATAATTTCAAAAACTTTAACGATATTGGGGTGGTTAAACCGTTCTGACAAGCGAAGTTCGTTTTCTAGATATAGTAAAAAGTTTTGCTTTGTTATTTCTTTTCGATCTATGATCTTTATTGCACATTTTTCCTGAGTGTTTATATCTTGAGCTAAAACAACAACTGCAAAGCCGCCATAGCCTAGTATATCCAGTACTTTATATTTTCCGATTTGGTCCGGTATTTTGATCTTATTAAATGAGCGCGTTTCCATTCTGAAAACTAATTCTCTCGGGTGTAAACCTTACAAAAACTCTCTGAAAATTATTAATACAATAAAAATCAAAATCAAGAAATCGAACTAGATAATACTTTTATCAGCTTTGGGCTGTAAATTGTAATTGAAAATCCATTCAATTTAACGTTATTTTCAAATGGATGAAATATTAATATTTTTAGTAATTTTTACTTGCCATACTAAATGCTCGATGGCCTGTAAAAAGTAATTAATTAAATAACCGTTTTTTATCTCATAACTTTTTAAATTACCGTCAAAAAAAACTGAAAAAATTGAATTCCATGAAGACTTTGATTTTAATAAATGCAATATTCCATGAATTGTGTTAAGCAAAATATCACAAGAAATAAAAAAATTATAAAAGCACGTTTCATCTGATTTTTATGGTTCTGAATTTTTATCATTCCAGTTCACCATTTAATCGATTAATTCTGAGATTTCTAAGTAAGTACTTTGAAACAATAAGACCGCTAAAATTATTTTGAAGGTTTATTTAAATTAATTTTTTCAGCCAAATGCGATTATTTTAAATTTAAATTTTGAGATAAATTGACTAATCACATATCTAATTGTAGTATATCATTAAAAGAGTAATTTTTCATTTGAAAGTTTCTGAATCAAATCTCAGAGAATTTTAGTCTCTGGGAACCGATCTCCTCAAATATCTCTTCAAACATAAGTTTTGATGTTTATGGGATAACTGTAATTCACATGAATTAATAACTCTTATTTCTTGATAATAATCCGGAAAAAAATTAATATTCATATCAGTTTCTCGTATACTTTGCAGCACTATTGCATCACTTAGTTGGTGTTATCAAGTAATTAGAAGATTTTAAAACAGTTGATGAAATTTCGAATCAGAATTAATGAAATTAACGATTCTGGCATTGCTCATTCAAATAACAAGCTATATAAACTATTATGATTATTCAGGCTATGCAAAAAATGGAAAATCTGTATTTGGCAAAGTCCGCAATATCCAAATGCCGAAAAAATTAAAAATTTCTAATGAAAATTTTATTTGGACGTGTTTATTTATTCACTTCTCTATATGTTTTAAAGATTTTTATCTTATCCTGAGAAATGCTTTGTTATCATGCATATAAACTATTAATATTTGGAGCTTGGCCTATTAATCGATTATATTTGTTTATATGTGTGTAATATTAAACATGCATTTATTCTATATCTGAAAACTTTAGGGAATTCATCATTATTAAATGAACATGAACACAAACAAGGTGTAAAATTCAGGTAAAAAATACATGCAGCTATTCGATTTGCATACCAAATCATATGTTGCAGCTGGTGGAAAAACACAATTTAAATCTTTATCGACGTGTGACGTATCTGTGGCAAAATTTGAAATTGGGTAGGAGTCAGTAACTTTAACAGTGATATCATACGGGGTGTTATGTCCATTAAAATTATCTCGAAAGAAAACATCATCGGTAATAGCTGTGCTCCCACAATATTGAAATTCTTGTAATGTGTCAAGTCCTCTAAACGCAGAATTACTAATATTAGTGACTGAAGGAGGAATTGTGATTGATTTGAGAACCCAAGCAAAACAAAAAGCACAACTTCCAATATTTTTAAGTATGTTTCCAGTAAAAGTAAGAGATGTCAAAGAATAGAAATCATAAAATCCAACTTCTTCAATAATTTGCAATCTACTATTTTGGTCGAATGTCAATGAAGTAACATTCCGACATTGTGAAAATGCTGCAAATCTAACAATTTCAATGCAAAATCCTATGTGGATTGTGCGAAGTTCAAAACATTTAAAGAAAGCTTTGTATCCAACTTCTGTAACGCTAAAAACAGTGTCTTTATATGTAACAAAATTTAGAATCTGTAAGTTTGGACCATAATCGGAAGCCACTGCATTCGGATTTTCTCCACTATCAATACCAGTTCCAGCACGAACTTTCCTTTTAGCAACATCAATAATGGAAAATGTAAGGCCCTGATATTGGAATGATTTATTAACATGCAGTTATGAGCTTATGTCATCAAAAAATTTGAAAAGATAAATCGGATTATTCTATTCAAAATTTCAAACAAAAAAACACGACTTATATTGATTTACTTTTACGGCAGAATCTACATACATGTACCTCTCGAAGCCATGATTGAAATATTATCATTCTCAATGAGAAATGCAATAATTAGACCTAATTTTAAAAAAAAAATATAAAATTACTCAAACTTTATATTAAAATTCTTTTTGTATGGTAAAAGTAAGATGAGCAAGAAAATTATCAAATGCAAATTCCTTTTCAAGTAACATATTCAAACATATTCATTTCATAGTCAAAAAGAAATAAAATATATTGTAGTTAAAAAGTTCGAATCATACTATAGTAGAAAGCGAATAATTCTTCTAAAAGAGCTTAAATGAAATTCAAATTTTTTGAAAATTGTGATGAATGGTTGATAGAATACCTCACAACATTGATATTGTTCGGCCTATCTCATTCTTCATCTTTGTATGTAGTGTGCAAAATGAACACAACACGAAAGGGCTCACATTTTTCACCACATATGAATTGAACAGCTCTGTCTGGTTCCATTCTCATATGTATATTGTATAAATTCTTATTGTTTACGATAGTCTATGAAATACATGCTTGATATTTTTAATCAAAGCCTCTCTAGCCTTCTTATTGTGTTTAATTTGCCTGATCACTTAGTATTTGAACAAAGAATATGATCTACCTTGCTGAAGTGGAATCTAAATATATGATTTTTAAGAGTTTCAAGAGGAAATTTTTTTGAGCAATTTATAAATTATCGAATTGAGGCATCAAGCATCATTCAATCTATTTTAAAAGAATTTTTAAATGATCTGATATGCAGGTAACTCATTTTTAAATGAGTGATTTTGAACATGATATCCTCTTTGACAGCTATAGCAAAGTATTGCATCTTCTTGATCTTCTTTTTGATATAAATGAAGGATATATAGCTGAAATTCTTGATCTAATGGTGCAAATTGCACAAGAAGAAGAATGGAATCATGAATTTTTCATTTTCTTGGTTGATAAAGCCTGTTCGCCAAATATCCAGAAACTAAATGTATACGTTGACCTAGCAAAGCAGATTTATGATAAATATCCAGAATCAAAATTATTCAAAAATTTCTCTTGTGGCGAACTGAGTATGACACTTTCTAATAATCAAATTTATTTCAACAATGAGACATATCAAGCTATAATTGACGATGATGTTGATTATTTAATAAATCTATCCTCAAAAGATTCAAATTTCAACTTTAATGATGTAATTTTCTTCAGAAGTTACATTAATATCAGTGCAATGCATGGGTCATCGAAATGCTTTAAGTTTTTATTATCTAATAATGCTGAAATCAATGAACAAACTCTTATTCATGCTTTTGAAGGCGGAGATTTAGAAATTATAAACATGATTGAACAAAAATTCGTTCCTGACCAAAATTGTATTGATGCTGCCGTCAAATCCCATAACAATGATGCTGTATACTATCTAATGGATAAGTATAACTTAGACTATTCTTATTCCAATTGTGCTGAAAGTTATAATTTAGAATTGTTCTTTTTCAAACTTTCAAATGAAGTTCAAGATAACAAAATCAAAAGTTTGAATGAAAGTTTTACTGATATGATCTTTTTCGGCTTAAAATCGCTAATCAAACTTTATGTCGAGAATGGTGTTGATATTAATTCAACAAATATTAATAACTGGACAGCATTAGTTGTCTGTATTATTTTGAATTTATCTCCAAGTGTTGCAAAGTATTTGATTGAAAAGAAAATCGATGTGGATGCAATTGATGTTTTTAAGATGTCCGTATTAATGATGTGCGCTCTCAGAGATAACATAGAAATTGCAAAAATCTTGATCGAAAATGGTGCAAACATCAATCAGAAAGATGCTGAAAAAAGATCGATTTTGATGCTGGCAAAATCTCCTGAATTTGTTTCTTTACTAATTGATCACGGTTGTGATCTTAAGGTGCTTAATTGCGAAGGATATAATGCACTTGAATATGCTGTTAAAGAATGTGATTATATAAAGGTGAAATATTTGCTAGAAAACTCGAAAATAGAAATTAGAACTTCTTTGAAGATATGTTGCATCCATAACTATGATGAAATTGCTAAACTTCTAATAGATCATGGTGCAAATATTAATCAGTATGATGAATATCCACTATTATTTTATTGCCAAATCGGTGATTCGATGAAAACTGCAAGACTACTTCTCAAACATAATTTCGATTTAACAAACTATGAGCCATTTGCAAATACTTTAAATGACACAGCAAAGTTCATATCAAAAGAACTACAATCAAGAAAGAAAAATTAACTCAATATTGTATAAGCTTGACACTAACTCTAAGTCATGGCCTAACACATCTAAATTAGAAAAATAGCAAATCAAATTGTTGAATTTTATATTACTAAAACTTATCTGTTTATGTTTTATATTTCAAATAAGAATGAAATCTTTCTCTATGAAACAAAAGTATATTGTATTCCTAATATTCAACAATAATTCTTATCATGTTTCTGTGTTGATAGTGTTTACCTTTTTATGTTAAGTTATACCTCAGGTAAAGCAAATTATTCATTGCAGCTTTTGGAATTTTCCTGGATTTTGTATGAAAGGTATTCCAACAAATAATCATATAAGAGCAATAGTATTGCACATCTCGTTACAATGGCAATTTGGTGAAAATCATGTTCAATATTATGTTTTGTTTCAAAAAAAAAAAATAACTACCCAGATTTTCCTTACTTTTACCACTCCCCATGTAATTTCTGGGGAAAACGATAATTCATTTTTTTTTATGGATGAATAGATCGTTTTCCTAGAAAGGACCTCATATCTCTGGCTAAAAAGAGTGTCAGATCCTAAATAGATTATTGATCTAGTGTACAAATCCAATAAAAAGCCTATTTTTTTGGCTTTTTTGGTGCTCATTTTTTCGAAGATCTACATGAATATGGGGAAACCATCGGATTTTTTTGGTTAACCCACATCTTCATGTAGTCTGGACTATCTTTCCTCGAAGGACCTCTTTACGGGTGTAAAAACTCATAAAGTTCTCAAAAGATTCATTCTCGATCTCCATGCTGAAAGAATTTACAATAAAAAAGAGATCTACGCATCAAACTACAGCCATAAATGAACTGAACCCCTAAAGCTCAGCTCTTAGTTTATCAAAAACGTCGAAATCCTTCTCATTGCAATCAAATTTTCTCAATAACTCATAAGAAAAATCGAATTTTGATTAAGCCGATGTTATAGGTATCACAAATACTACAAACTTGAGCAATATCGAAATTGCCAGCAAAAGTTTGAAATTGCATTGCTCATATTTGTTTTGTAAACTAAAAATCTGCTTATATTATTCATTAATTTTTTATATATTATTCATATACTTTAATAAAAACAATACTATTTCACCTTAAAAATGAATTTCATAAGTCAATATTATTTTTTTGAAAATGTATCAATTTTCGATTAAAACAACATGAGAATAAAATTTACGCAAAATTATTTTAAAAAATGGTTTTAAAAATTTACAATTGATGAAGAATAAGATTGCAAGAAGTTTTGAAGTTTAATTTTAAGAAAAAAAATTCGGATATTATTCATGGATCTAAGTAATCTGATATTTGAGTATCGGCACTATGCATAAAACATATATTTATAGTTTTTTTGGATTTTTATGATTTTAAATATATTCAAATTTGGCAATCCAATAGATTTTTAAAAAATAGGTAAATAAAAATAGATTACATATGCAGCAGATTTAGAACATGAAACAAATCTTATAGTGACCCAAAAAAAAATTCATGATCCAAAAAAGAAAAAAATTAGCTAAATGGGAATAAAGCCTTGGCATAATGAATCATTATGTCGGATGTTTCCACTACACCGGCAGTTCGAAAAATACCCTTGGTGGTTCTATTTAATAGCTACTCCCAACGATAGGCGGTGTCCCCAGCTTTAGAGAGGTGGTAAAAGTAAGGCAAATCTGGGTAGAATTCTGTTTCATAAGTCTTTCTCACTGCTGTGCATGATTGAATTAGAAATTAAAAATAAATGGTATGTTTTACACTAAAATATAAAAATTAACACTTTACAAACCGAAAAAAAAAACAAATAAACAAATCATAAATGTAATAATTAAATAAATAGATTATTACATTTGCAATCTTGATCTATGTGATGAATCAGTATCATGGAAGCAAATATCTGCATTTAATCCCTTCATCTGGACTCTTATTGATTTTGGAGTATTTGATAAAATTCTGTAGCCATCAGCATTTGGCAAATTATCTGGCCTTCCACTGTGCCAGAAAACGACGTTGTCAAATGGAATTGTGTACTGTAATGGATCAGAACTGTATTTGCAGTTAGAAACGGTTCGGAAGAAGCTTCTTCTGAGGAACTCTGTTGATGTATCAGTAAGTGTAACACCAAGGAACCTGTAAGATTGGACTTCCGTTGGAAGTAATTTTAATCTTTTGATTAAGTTGAAAGTAATGACGTCATCGCCCTTAGAACTATCGCCTGTGAATAGATCTTGTATTAAATCTTCTTGGTGGTCAAGAATATACTTTGCAGTGGCTCTAGAAACTAACCAACCAGATCCACCATGAAGAAACTGGAAATTAGTACCTTCAACTAATATATTGGATCGCACTAGTTGTCCTTTGAGTATTTGTTCCTTACGAGGATCTAAATATCTTGTTATATCATCTAACATTTGGCCAATATGTCTGATATCAACAAAACAATCTTCTGTAGTACGAATAGCCCAATCCAAATCTGTACCATAATAGAAATCTTGAAGGGCTTGTAAATAAGTGAATAATAAATTTTGAATTGGAGAAATTGAGTTATTCCAGTATGCAATGAATTGTGTACTGTGATCAAAAGGTAAATCTAGTGGTGATACATATCGAATTATTGATTTTTTAAATAGTTTATCGTAGTCTTCTCCCCAATATTGATATGACTCGTTAACTCTTGAATGATTTTGTGGATTAACTGTCAATACAATCATGTATGCACTCATATTATCGGAGCTTTGGAGAAAAACATCTGATTTCATATCTGGAAAATATTTTGGAAGCGTATATGAGTAAACTAATTGCATAATATAGAGTATGGCAAGAACTACTGATGAAACAATGTATGTGTGTTTTGGAATAAATGTAAAATCACTTTCATTCATGAAGTTAATGGAGAAATGTCACTTTTTTAATTTCAACACATCCATATCCTTATGAAAAGCCATTTTTACGTGGCTGCAACATGAATTGTTACAACTTTTGAAGTCTAATACAGAGAATTTCTAGTTGGCAATACTTTAATACATCAAATGCATTCATTATGTATCTGAAATCGATAATTTATCTGCAATGTATTTCATTATTGATATCTTATTAAGGATAAACTGTATATTGAATTGTTTTATTAAATTGAGACTATCTTAAACTAAATTTGATGAATTTTAAATGGTTTTTTAATAAATTTCCGAAATAATTGTTAAAATTTTAGTAGAAAAAACATAAAACAATGATATTATTTAATACACTTTTGAATTAGAATGGCTTACGCTGTGGAGCTTCTTCCTTCTTTGGACTTTCAGGGAGTTTTCCAACATAACCCTTTGGAAATGGATCTTCTGGAAGTTGTGTCCTATATGCTTCAACATTAAGTTGCTTAAGGTCCTCAGGGTGTGCATGGTTGACTATTTGTTGCTTCTTTCGTGGCGGCATGATCGTATCATCAATAACTGTTGTTTTGTAGAATGGTTTTGGCAGTGGATCGCTTGTCTTATAGTTTGGACGTGATGTAACTTGTGGAACAAGGTCTATTTTTGAAATAGCAGCAACATCCATGCTATCCATTGTAATCCACTCGAATTCTGACTGATCGGAGCGTGCTTTTATCATGGCTGTATTAATGAGCTGAAGTATTCTGTTGTAGTCTGGTTTCTCGTCGTTCTTCAGGTTAATAATGTAAGAATAAATTTGTTGATAATCATCTGGAAGAGAAGCGCATAATTGTGGTATAGTAACTGTATTCTTCATCTGTTCTATCTTCTTATGATCTGTAAGCGAGCTCCATGGTAATTTTCCGTCAATTAATATCAAAGTTGTGTAGAACCAATTGAGAAGATCGTTTCTACGGGAATATATCTTATCCTGATGTATTTTCTTCTTCGTATTCTGCTTTGGCGGCGGTCTTGACGTTGTTAGCCAAGCTTTATTGAGATCTAATAATGTAATTGGAAATGTGGCATCAGGTTTGATAACAAAATGCTTGGAATGTATTTCTCCGTGTATAATATTCTTCTCATGCAATTCTTGGATGCAACATAGCATTTGGCGTGAAATTTTAACGGTAGATTCTCTTGAATACGTTTTACCTTTAAGAATTGTTTGGAATTTTTCAATAGTTGGACCTAACAATTCCATTGAAATGTAGCGCCAATTTTGTGTTGATCCGTTTGAGTGAATAATAGGGAAATACTTTGAGCCTTTTAATAGGGCATAGTTTTCTAATTCAATTTCGAGTGTTTTTGCTTTCGAATCGATTGATTCTAATTTTAATACATATTTTTTACGAGTATTTGGGTCTGTCGCAATGTAAATATTGCAAGTATCTCCTTTTTCAAGTAACTCATCTATAATAAATGGTCCAACAACTCTTCCACGAGATAAAACCTCTTCTTCCATTTCTTTCGATTTTTGGCGTTAATTTGATTGAATGAAAATCATTTTAGAAATATGAAGAAAGATGGTTAGAAGATTAGTGAATTAGGAAAAAATTTTAAACAGGCAATATCAATAAGGGTATTAGAATTAAACGACTGAACGAAGAAAGTATGATTCCATGTTACATGTGATTATTTTGAAAGTGATCTCATCATATGAATAAATTTTATTCTTTAATAATAGAATCATACATCATGCGTCAGGGCACGATGGCCGAGCGGTTAAGGCGTGGGATTAGAGTCCCCATGGGCTTGTCCCGCATCAGTTCAAATCTGGTTCGTGTCGTTTTTTGCTTTTTTCACTATTTTTGATAAAAGAGTGACTTGTGGTCGTCAAATTGAACGATTCCTCACTCATTAAAGTATAACTAATGTATTCCAATATTGGTATGATAACGCCCACTTGATTGTACATACCTCACATTAAGGCTCCACGTTCATGCATTCAATTTTGAGAGGGCATTCAATTAAGATTGCACCTAAAAGTGCATTTGTAGCCACATATGTTTGCTTTTGGAATGAACAGACACCTGATCCATCATCTACATTATTAGAGGGATCTATTGGTAGCACTCAAATTGAATAAATATCTAATTTGAAAAAACTTGGTTTTTTTCGTCCAAAATCAATTTTGGAAAAAATTGACATATTTACATCGGTGAGAAATTTTTTTAAATTCTGATTGCAGCATGACTAATCGCAATATTAGGAGAAACTAATTATCACATACTTTTTCATTTTTATGAAAGATACAAAATCTCAAAACCCATCCCCGCGCATAAAAAATTGAAATATCCCTTATAAGACAAGGATTCCAGAGAAACAAAAGTTTCCCAAATCTGAAAAGTAGATTGCCAATTTCCTAAAAAACTGGAATTTGGCTTTTATAAATATTAAAATATTATCTGTATAATATCAAAATTGTAATGATCAGTTCAGTTTTTGATTTGAATGAACTAGAAAATTTCTTGATGTCGATTATCTTCAATCAAGGGTTGATATGAAATGGATAATATTTTAATATATATGAATATTGTATTTTATTGATTTTTTATTAGGAAAAGCAATATATTCCAAAATACTAATATAATCAAAAATTACGAACTTTTGTATATAAATCATGTGAGTCTACGGATAGAAAATAATAGTGGTCTGCACTGTTTCTTCATATTCACCAAACAACGGACCTTGGGGTTTGGGCGCGATCAAATACTTGAAAATTAATTTTGGAGTCCATAAGTGCATAGTATAATGGTTAGAATTCCCTATAATAAACCTTGTTTTGAAGTTCATTTGCCGAACATAAAACTTTTTTTCGAAATCGAAATTATTTCAAAAAAATATATCTTATTTTTTGCTTTTTAAGATAGTCATTATACACAAAATATTAGTAAACTATTTTTATTTGAATTACTAAAACTTTCAATTGATTGGTATAGAATAAAATGAAACAAACTCTAATTATTATAGATGATTTGAAATATGCACAAAATCTTCAAAAGAATTCTGTATAGTTTCAGAATTTTACTCTTTATGTGTAATAAAAGATATCTTAATGTGTATATATGATTTGTAGAAGTTATTTATCGAGAATGAAATAAATATTGCAAATAAGGAAAAACAATGGTGCAGTTTAAGAGCTTATGGGTAAGTAAAGCAAATAAGATCAACTTTCGATTTTTCGAAATTTATTAGATCTCGGAGGTAAATTACCAAGGTTTTCGACGAAAAACCCTTTTTTGTGCTGTTGAAGCTACAGTTTCATTTGGTCATACTCCGACCCCTTGGCTTTGGGTATTCACGGAGTCATGGGCCATTAAAAAAAAGGAGGATTACGACCCTCTCAATTTATGAACGTGGAGCCTTAAATTAGCGATCATAATTCTCTCTCGTTTTCACATTTAACCCGAGTTAAACTATTGTTTGACTGTGAATTAACAAAATTTATGAGTTCTATTTATGCTTGAACGATTTTCAAAGATTTCTTTTTAAATATGTCAATTTTTGACGTTTTCTTACACCATCTGCTAGTCAACATAAGATGGTAATCACGTATATCTCTTTTGGAATAATTTTATAAAAAAAAGTCGAAACCTCAGGAAATAAGTCAAGAAATGATTATACCTTGAAAGCTATTCCAACACCATTGTATTCAGTAATTTTAGATAAAATCTTTACATTATGATTTCGTTCAAAGTCATAATTTATCCTGTAAATCATTCAAAATAAAAACGTTGCTTTCAATTAACTGATTTGAATATTTTTTCCTGTTTAATATTTTTTCTTTCCATATCTATATCTTACATTTAACGACTGAGAACGTTTGAGAAGCACGTTAATTCAGAGGATTTAAATCTTTTGAATTTTATCATTAGAAAATGAAGAAAGAAAGAAGAGCAAGTGCAGAAGATATTGATAGCATTATGTCAGGTCAGAATCCAACTGAGCTACACAAAGCAATTTTAACTCATGACCAACAAAAACTCAAACATTTATTATATAATGGAGAGAATGTTAACGAAAAGATGGAGAACGGAGTAAGTTTATTGCATCTTGCAATCTTACTTAGTGACCTTTCATTGATAAAAATCCTTATTTCCTTTGGGGTTGATCTCAATACTTCTGATTCTCTTGGAATGAATGCATTTCATTACGCTTGCAGGTTCTCATCAATCGAAATTATTCAGTTCCTTATATCTCAAGGTGTAAATGTTAGTTCTATTTCTAAAGAAGGGCGAAATGCTCTTCATTATTGCGCTTTAAGTTCCTCCCTCAGCAACCTTCGCTATGTAGCTAATTTAGGTATTGATATCAATTTGCGCGATACATGCGGCTTTACACCTTTACAGCTTCTGAAGTAATAGATCAGAGCTGATTGAACATTGGTCTCTTTATTTAATCATTCTTGTTTGTAGATATTTGTATAAATTATATGTTTATTGTCATTGTTTGTTTTAATTTACTTCTATTACTCAGAAATAATTGAATTTGATGACATTTCTCGGAGATATATGCGAATGTTCATTGAAACGCAATGTAATTATAAAGTAAGTTGAATACATTATAGCTGCCTACTTCTCACTCGGTTTTATCAACTGAATGCACGATTTTAATTTTTCAGGATTAAAATCATTAGAATAGATAAATGTTTAGCAAGTACTATAGATATCATTATAAATTCTTGATAAGAAACAGATTCTGTGAAAGTTTTGCTTTTGAACTCATTAAATTATCAATAAATTCCATAAAACTTGATTTATTTTATTGTATAATTTTGTTCCAATGATTATTTATTAAAAATATTAGTCCATAACAAATTAACAATTTGTCACTTTTTGTGGTGGAATTATAATATTTTTAATTAACATAATTTATAGAAAATCAAAAAAAATACGACAAAATTTTGAAAGCTTTGAAAATTTTTTTGTCTAAAAATTTTAATTATTTTGATTTTGTATTACTTTTATTATGTCTGCAAAATTTGAAAAACCGTCAAAATTTTGCCCAAAAAAATTTCAATAAAATTTTTTACTTCACTTTTTTTAAATGGAATCTAATCATAATGAACAAGATATTTATGAAGGTCTCATTATGGCTAAGAAGCTAGCTACGATGATACCTACATCTCTCTCGATTGATGACTTGTTCTTCGATCAAGTAAAGAAACAAGTCAAAAATAATAATTATATGGATAAAAATGTTTTTATTCCTCCTTCACCTAGTGTGAGTTCAATTGGCGCCGTGAAAGCGGAAACGCCAAAGCGGGAGACAAGTAAGTTTTCGTTCTTATTATCTAAAAAATCGCGTAAAGTCGAAAACAATGCTTCGCCTTCCAAAATGCATTATGAGCTTCCCAATACCTTCAAGCTCGGTACTGGAATTGCAAAGCTCAGACCGATCTATGCAATTTCTTTCCAGAACTTGAATGATGATTCTGATAAGAATAATAATAACTTACCACAGCATATAATCCAAGGAGCCGTTCAGGTCGAAAGCGATTTTACTGATTCCGATGACTGATCTCCATATTTTTTCCAATCAGATTTTTCCCTTTGTTTCTAGATTGTCATATTAGTTTTTCCTTCGTGTATTACCTGTGTTCTTGTTTATAGAGTCTCATAATGCTTTAATTGCTTACTAATTTGAGTTTGGAAAATGTTATGAGTTGATCTTGGAACTTTGATGATTGATATATGCAATCATTGATCTTCATGTTGAATTTATAATGTTTGTAAAATAAATTTTAGTATTCAAAAAAAATTATCGAAATCTTTTTTTCTAACATGAAATATATTGCCAAAAACATAAATTTTTTTCATGACCTCTAACTATTAGCAGTGAACAACCAAAGGAAAAAATAAATATTTGATATAAAACAATCGATATGATTTTATCATCAACTGCAATGAAGTACAACACTATGAGATCGATAATAAATGATTTAAAATGAAAACAAATTTTTCATATTGAAGTGGTCCGAAGTACCTGAAAATCTAAAATGATGGTTTTATCACTGAGTACATTATGTTTTGTATGATTTAAAGGATAGAAACAATATGTTTTCAAATGAAATGACTAGAAAAATTTGCAATTATTTCATATCTTTGCAATGAATCTCAGATCATGCTTTTATTATATTTCAAAAAAATCAATGTGTTATGGCTGTCCAAAAAAGAACCAATATTTTTCAATAGGAGATAGGTTTCAGAAAATATTTACTTATTTGAAGCTTCTACCGGGTCAATGAATAATTTAGCTTATTTCCTTCAAGAATAATAGTTCCCTTTTGTAATGAAGCTCTTTTCATTGGAATTCGTAATCTTGAATCATGTTGCATTTATTTCTAAGGTTTCAATATTTAAACTATTGGTAAGTGAGTGATCTATTGCTTGATATATTATAGAAATATATTTCATCCATTTTTAATTGAAAATAAAATAAATTGGAGTTCGAAATGCTTGAAATAGTCTATATTATAGAACTTTTAAATATATGGAAAAAGAATTCAATAAGTTATTTTCAATATACTCTGAAATCTTACGTTATTTCAAAAATTGCATAATAGTATATGAGTTCAATTAAACTATAAAAATCACTTATCTTCAATGGAAATAAATTTGAGTTTGACGGTATCCCTCTCAAAATTGAAAATGATTTTCAATTGAGACGATTATTACCTAAAATCAAAAATTATGTTGAAAAAAGATTGCATTGCTCTTTCCGAATATCCAAAATTCTGGGCTCTTTTAAACTCAACTGATATGTATCAGTATATGTATATCAGAACAACACTCCTAGCCTCAATTGGAAAGAACATTCGCAATAAAAGCAATGAAAATTTTGCAGATATTCTTCAACTTCTTAAGAATTTCTGCCAAAGAGGAGATTGTGAAGATTGGAAGAGGTGCCTTGTAGCAGGAATCTGCTTCTTCGGCAATGGCTCAATTGCAATCAATACACATCAACTCAGATTATTCATTGGAAAGTGCAAATCATCTATAAATGGATCACTTCATAAACTTGGCTTCAATTATGGCCTTGAACGAAGTGAAGCCACTGCAAACATCATTGGAATGATTCCGATGTTGAAGGAAAACCCATCAGAGTTAAGACAATGGACTCTTAGATCCCCAGTTCCATTAAATGATGTCTCATCAGTTGTTCTATCTGAACAATCTGACTGTGAGTCCATAAAGAGTTATTCTTCTCCAATTGCTGAACCAGTTAAGTCAGATGATGCTAAGAAGGCTACAACAAATACAAAGCAACCAGCAGCTGAAGAAAATACTTATTCTTTATTTAATGATATAGAGTTCGAAATAAATTCTCTTATAGATCTTGGATTATAACCCTTGTATTATTTATATTAATGGTGATTTACGTAAATCATCTTTCTCTCTTTATTTATTTTATGATTATTTTTTCTTTTTTTTTTTCAAACTAACTTGAATAATGGATAATGTATCTGATATCCAAAAGTGTGGTGCATTAAAAATAGTCAAATTTTATAACAAAACAACAAAATATAATATGAGACATTATTTCTTGTTAAGGGCTGGAATCTTTTTAACAACAAACTTGCTGTCTTTAGTACGGTATGGATTATTCGGAGAGCCTTTAACTGGACAGTTACAACCAAGATATGAAGTACAGTTTGTTGAAGTCTTAGCGACGACGGGAGCGTTATTCCAGGCAAGATCATAACCTCCATAGTGTAATGGCATGTCTTGATTTTCTTCTCTGTTTTGGTATAATTGAACCAAATCAAGCATTTCATTGAGCATACTGAATTTCATATCGTAGTCCTCTTCTGTATTTGCATCTAAACTAGGTGATGCATTGACTTCGATCAACCACGGACGAAGATCGTCTGTAATTAAGATATCGTAACCGTAAAGTTCGTAGCAATGCTTGTCTGGTATAACCGATGATAAAACTGAAAGAAGAGAGTTCAAGATGATTGATTGAATTGCTGTAAAGAGTCGATTTGTAAGTTCAACGCCATGGCGATGGATAAAGTAAGTTCTGAGACTATGTGTATCCCACTTGCAACCATGGCGAGGATTGTAAGCTTCTGAATGAGTTTGAACTGCAATATTTGTCAAATGAACGTCACGATCGAAAGATTTCATAGAAAATGGCTGAGAAGAGAACCTACAGAATCCTCCTCTGTAAATGTAAACGATGAGTGGATTGAAAGAAAGAGTCAAAGCGTATAATCTGATATCAAATTTTCGGCCTCCAACGAGATATGGATTTGGAATGTATTTCTGAACAACGTAAGTGCATTTCATTCTATCTTCTGGTGTTTCCGCTGAATTCATTTTGTTGTTATTCGAATTATTGAATTTGACTGCTTCTTGTTCACTTTGAAGGAATACAATTCCAGAACCCATGGATCCACCTACTGGTTTTGCTATCCAAATATCGTTACAACCATGAATTTCTTGGCGAAGCCTCATCCAATCATTTGGTAGAACGAATGTTTGTGGAAAGAAATCCATTGTAGATTCTTGACCTGTCTTCCTTAATTCTCGACTGAGTTTCATGAGATTTTTTGCCATTAAATCTTTTCGGGTTAATTCGAAAGAATTAGGAAAATGGTTGACGCGTTGATTTGGTCTCAAGACTATTGGGGATGGTCCTAGCATATGTGCTCCTATCCAAGCCCTACTTGCCCAAATAAAATCCCATTCCATATTTTCGTCTTCATCCTCTTCCTCTGCACATGGAATTTCAGTATATCCACGAGATAGGAAGACGTCTTTAATTGTATTCTTCATGTGACATTGAAAAGATAATGGCTTCGACATTGATATGATGTCACTTTTTGTTTTCCAAATTCAATTTGGGAATTCCCATTGTTAGACTGGATAACAGAGTTTATTGTTAAGATTAAATTGAAATATTTAATAAAATACTAGAATCTTACCAAAAGAATGGAAAAGAGTTAAAATTTCTTCAAATTTAGCACTAATATCAGAAAAGAATTGTGTCTGCTACCATTTTCAAAATCCAAAAAAATTAGAAATTATAAAATATCAATAAAGGGTCCTAAGAGTTGAATATCATTTTTTGAAAATCGAATTTTTTTTTGGAATTTCCAATATTAAATTTCAATTTTCAGGGGGATATCATTATTAAATGATAGTTTTAAATTGATAGAATTCATAGATTAATAAGATATTTTTGAAATATGGAAATGTTATTATGAAATTTAATAAGTTTCAACACAATATTTTTGATATCGAAACGATAATATATGTTTTTAGATCCAATCTAATTAGATTAACGGAATGTGTTAAATAGAAGGTCCCAACTACGCATTTTCAAAAAATTTCTGATATCCCTTTATTAATGTTATTTATTCTTGACTTAGCTCCAGCACATTTATTAAATTCGATATTTAATTATATTTTATGTCCTTGAGATGTTAATCACTGTTTATTCAATCAAAATGAAAAATGCGACTCATTTGTAGGCATCATATTAAATAAATAATGAAGGAAGATAAGAAAATCCCTTAAATTAAGAGGTATCCTTTATTAAACATATATAACCGTAAATATAAAATAAAAACAAATCCGAAGGTTGGGGAAATACATGTAAATTCTCCAACAAAGTATATATAAATGGACCAAAAATGAACAAACCTTAGTTCAATTGTACTTCAATCTCGTCATCATTTTCACTAGATTCGAGATCGTCTGATGATGAAGATGCTTTAGAAACAACATCTATTAAAACTTCCATTGGCAAGAAGTTAGGAAGTGGGTTTTCCATTATAAGTTTTGAACCGTCTTCGAGAGTGTATGTGAACATTTCCTTTGCCTCTTCAAATGGAGGTGGGATATTGTAAATGGATTTCTTGGAGAGAACATCTGGGGTCGAAATAACATATTGACAATCAAGTTCACCTGCTTCTGCAACTCCTTCATATGGATTGTAGTTACTTGTCTCGTCAGATGATGAGAAGTCACTATCGAAAGTGTTGTCGCAAGAAGATTCGCTATCAAAATCGTAGAAAACTGGCTTTGAATTGAACTGGTATGATTCAACAAATGGAGCATTATCATCTACTGCTTGGTATAAAATCTCAGGCATGGAAAAGAGTTGAGACTCGAAAAAAGTGAAGTAATTGTGAGAGGTTCAAGCTTTCAATTGATTTGCTGGCTATGTCAAATTCAACCGAATTTATTGAAAAAACTCTCACAATTTCAGACTGAGCGATATAAAATAAAATATGCAGGAAATATCATATATATTAATAATATAATAAAATTGATTTTTATTATTACAGTTTCAAGAGAACTCAGAAAAATTGAAAAGAAAAAAGGCCCAATCATTCACAAAAAATAATAGAAATATGTCAAAAACACAATCATCACACATACTTACTAGTATTAGGATACCATGATTATACTATTTTTATTTGACGAATTTCTGATTGCATTTTATTGAAAATGTTTACAATGATTTTATCGGTACAACAATTTTTGAATAAAATAAGATTGATACCTGCGAAGATTGATGTTTATTCAATTTGGCCAACTTTTGATTTCAAGAGCCTTGTACCGATAAACTAGCCTTGTACTGTCATTTTATGGTGATGTAAAGTATTCAAAAAATTTGCAATGTAAACCATTACATGGCAGAAACTTTAAAATAAACAAAAACATGACACTTAGTACAGGGGCTTTTTGGCTGGTGAAGTCAGATAAAACGTGGCTCAAGTGCTCGTTTAAAATTAAAAATGGAATTTCTCACAGTCGAATTTCTTGGTAGACAACAAAAGTTTATCATCAATTGTCGCGCCGAAGGTATGACATATAGTCAAACTAAGCTTGCATGGGAGGAAGAATACCCAGATCTCGGAACTTTAACATCCAATCTCATTGATTTAGTTTTGATTTTATGCGAGGAGGATAACATTTTTGTTAGCTGATGTAGAACTAGAATATAATTCTTCCAGCTATTTATATTCACTTTGAATTATTGTTTTGATTTGTAAACACTTACCAAATCTCATTTCTGCTAACTCAAAATTGATATGCATAAGCACTCTAGAAATATTTTTGAAATTCCATTTGATTGCTCGGTTTAATTTTTATCACTTACGATACACTTCATAATTGCTAAAATTCGAACATCAAAAATATATCCATGCATGATCAATTCAACGCTCAACCATTCAAAGGAATAGTAATCAAAAATAAATTTCTATCAACATTTTGTATTTCTCAACATATATGGGGAATTACGATTCATTATTACATACTGACACACATACATAAATGTATTGAGCTTTTGGTAGAAAAAAACTCTAAAATATTTATTTTAAATATTGGGAAATCAAAGTGTACTATATAGTGAACTATATAATCATATCACATTCAACCATTTTCATATCCTTCTATGATGAAAGGTTCTTAAATTATTTTCATTCAAAATATACTAGAATCAAAATCTCGAGCACAAAAGTGACATTGAATACTTGTAACTATAGAATTTCCATGTAAACTATTCATTTCTATCGTTTTTTGTAGTCCACATTTCCTCACTCTCGATTTTACTCATAAAAATATTAAAAAATCACTATACAATATATAAAATATATATTTATATGGTTAAAACAATGTTCTTTTTGCGAGATTTCATCTGAAATTAAAATTAGGGATTTTTTGAATTTTGAACTAAAATTTGTGATTGGCAATTATTGAATAATCGATTGGAATATGAAAGAAATACTTTAAAATTGAATAGAATGTGCCGATAGAATTTTTCTCACAATTTTAAAAAGCTGTCCAAATCCTATTTTTGATTGAGTTTTTGCAATTTTTATATATCAAGTGACAAGCTAAAAATCAAATTTTTGTTGTACTACTGTTAATGCAACTATTTGTAAATTACGTGCATCCTTTGTATTCGAGTAATCAACACCGAGATTACATATTGTAAGAAAATCTTTGGAATTAGATTTTTATTTGAATTTAAATTCGGACAGTCTAGTTCATGTTGCTTCGTGAGAATATATATAATTTGCAATATGAAAAGATTTAGGAAACTGCTCGGCATTGCCTGAGATCTAATCTTAATAATTTTTTAGATATGTTGAAATATGTAATATTTAGCTTCAATATCATTTATTATGGTGTGTCTTTGCTGTTTTGTGATATTGGATATCAATGACTCTTCTGTGAACGAAAAAATCATTAAATTCTAAACGTAAGCGAAACTCATTCAATTTATTATTAGAATCAAATCTATTTTAAAATTGAGCTATTTGATAAATCACAAAAGAATACTTTATATTTTTAGTCAAAATTTGTTGATAGGAGCTTATTGGCGCAATCTACTGATCTTCCTGGAAGGAGCGCACAGACCAGTCAGAAGCGCTCCTTCCAGGACCAGAAAGTCTAGAAGGGGGCCCTGACCTTGAGAAAAGACCCCCTTCCAGGCCTTTCTCAAAGGAATATTGTGCCATTGTGGGAGACATGCAGTGGCAATGTCTCCCAGAATGACACTTTGTGACCGACAGGAGTGCATAATGCACTCTTGTCGGTCATTGTTTTGCAATCACAAAGTGATTGCAAAAAATTGTGCCATCCAGAGGCAATGTCTCCAGGAATGATATGTGCAGACCGACAAGAGTGTGTTATGCACTCTTGTCGGTCAAAGTTCCGCATTCAAGTTATGAATGCGGAACATTGTGCCATTGTGGGAGACATGCAGTGGCAATGTCTCCCAGAATGACACATTGCGACCAACACGAGTGAATGGGACACTCTATTCTTTCAATTTTCCCATTAATATTTTTCTTTTTTTATTAGATCAATAAATAAACTATTTTAATGTTCATTATTACATAAATCCATATGAATCAATCCGCTATTTATTTAGTCTCTAATTTTAATAGCTTTTTTGAATCTTGCAATCTAAATACCCTCCATTTCCAGGAATTACCGTCACTTTTTTCACACCATCTAAAAAAGCTTCTATATCTCGACATATATAGACATTTTCAAAGCTTTTTAAAAGAGTATATGATAGAAAAAAGGTTGAATTTTATGATTTTGTACTTTGTATGGAAATATGAGATATGAGATTTAATATGATTTGATTGCAAGTTGAAATTTTTGATTTTTATTGTATAGCATTTTTATGATATGGAGAGTGTAATTAAAAAAAAAGGTAGTGGGGCTTCCAGGCGCGTTGCGCCCTCTAGCCCTGACGATGTTTAGTATAAATGAAGTTTTTATTCGGAAAATTGTTAGTCTTCTGGGTCGAAAACATTATCTAATGTGTCACTTTTCACAAATTATATATGTTTTCATGTTTTGTCACTTTTCTGTCACTTTTCGGGTAAAAAATTTTTATTATTATATATAAATGAATTTTACAAAACCACCGTTACCGTTCTTTGGAAATAAGAGTAGATGTAAAGATATTATATTGAGAGAACTTAAGAAACTACCGAATGGTCTAACATTTGTAGATTTGTTCGGTGGAAGTTTCTATATATCCCATTTATGTCATACAATATTTCCTGACTCAAAGATTATATGCAATGACTTCGACAACTATATGGACTGTCTCAAACATATTCCAGACACAAACAATATATTGAAAGAGTTAAAAGAAAAGATACCTATAGGTAAGATGGAACGTATACCATTAGATAAGAAAAATATTGTGAGAGAGGTTTTGAAAAAAGCAGAATATATAGACTGGGATAGTATATCTGCTAGACTATTATATAGTGGTGCTATAAGAGTTCATGACATTGAAACACTTATGTCAAAAGTTTTATATCTTAACTATACAAATGTTTTCAAAGAGGACATAGAAAAATATATTGAGGGTATAGAGTTTGTGAGATGTCATTGGACAGAGTTGTATGAAAAATATAAAGACAAGGAAAATGTTTTCTTTATAGTGGACCCGCCGTTCTATAACACATGGGATTTTCAATACCAAGTAGACTGGACTTTGAGAGACTCTTTAGAAACTTTAGACGTTATACATAACCATCCATGCTTTTACTTTACATCCGATAAAAGTGGTTTGGAAACCGTTATGAGATGGTTAGAGGACATACATGACTATGAGTTTATATATGACAAGATAGAATATGAGAGAGGTCCTATAAACCGGAGAAAGTGTCACAATAATGAAATTTTATTAGTAAGTAAATGTAGTTTGAAATAGGACTACTTGTTTTAGGTTTTTTCCATTGTGTCATTTATTTATTTGACGTGGCAGAAAAGTACAGAGAATATGAAGATGAACCAATGCCTGCAAATGTTCAGTATATGTACTCGTAAGAGATATTTTTATCTAATATTAAATGGACGCACAGAACTTAGCGAATGCACAGCAACCTGGACAACCAAACCCAGAGAATATTCCAAATGAAGTTAGAATACAAACTGCAATGGCAAACTATGGTCAAGTGCCAACAGATGTACAAATGCAAACTGCCATGTCAAATGACGCTGCGTTAGGTTTGCCACCATGATATGCAAATATGAGATGGAAAGAGTTTTATACAAACCCTGAAGTGGGATATAAACAACTTTATGCAGATGACGCGAACACAGGAGTTGACCCAGAATATGTTTTCTACCAGAGGAGAAACAGAATGTATGAGCTCCAGTTAAAGAATGCTATGGAACTCAACAGGAAACGTAAGAGACTAGGCGGACATTAGATTTTTACATATAGTAAAATGGGTTTCTTCAGTAGTATTGGAAACTTCTTTCGAAATGTTGGAAGAGGTATATGGAATGGAATAAAATCTGTCGGAAGAGGAGTATGGAACGGTGTCAAAAATATTGGTAAAAGAGTAGGTCAGTTCGTTGGTATTATACCTAAAGACCCTGAACCAGAAGAGCAAGCTCCTGTTATACAACAGCCTGAACCTGCACCACAGTCTAGTTGGCAACCAAATCCAACACCTCAACCGTATTAAAAAATTATATTTTTACCGTTCGATAGTAGTTGTATATGAAACTAAGTTCTAAGTAAAACGCATGGTATAATGGAATTATTCTTTTTCTTCCATCTGTAGTAAACCATACTTGAAAGTCTGAAATACTTCCACT